AGTATAAAATCTCTCAGTCATTTTAATTTGCATTGTTTTTATTACTACTGTTTTAGAGAAACAGAAGCTAACTTTTCACTTTCAAAGACTGCTGAACAGTCATCCATTAGTTCTTGAAGTTGAATAACAGGAAACTGTACTTGTTTTTCAAACCATTTGGCAACTGTAAGAAGCTGCTGATCACAAAATGCACGTCCAATAAACTGTAGCCCTACTGGCAACCCTTGGTTTGACAGGGCCACAGGAATGCTTACTGCTGGCAATCCTGAGGAAAAGAAAGAAACCTATTAGTTGATTAATTCTCCATCCTAAGAGGCAAAGGCCTCTTCCACTTTCAAGAGCTAGTAGGCACAAGAAAGTATAAGGTTTAAAAAATAACCAAAATATAATATTATACTACATACATACTTTGTACCTTGTTTTGTTTACTTAACAGTATATCTTAGAAATCATTCTATATTAGTTCACAGAGACCTTCTTCATTTCTTTTCCTTCTTTCTTTAAAATAGCTACATAGTACTCCATTATGTGGTTGTATCATAATTTATTCAACCAGTTCCCTATGGTTGGGCATTTAGATTGTTTCCAGTATTTAGCTATTTCATACAATGCTTCAATGAATAACCTGTGCACATGTTTCCTGGTATTCTTAGAAGTTTCTCAGATGAAAAGGGACTGCTTTATCAAAGGATAAGTGCATATGTAATTAGATATTGCAAAATTCCCCTTCAAAGAAACTGTACCATTTTGAATTCTCACCAGCAAAATGACTTCTTTTCTTACAGCCTGGTCAACAGGGCATGTTCTTGAGCTTTTGAATTTTTGCTAATTTGTTAGGTGAGAAATAGTAGCTCAGGGTAGTTTTTAATTCCAGGCTTGGGGTAAAGAAAATACAAGATAAACTTGGGATATGCGTTATGTCACAAAACAAGAAAGTTTTCAAAGATTAATGGGGACAGGTCTAAAGGACATACAACTTCAAGGAGTTCCTACTGGCCAAATTTGGGACAAACTGAACACCAAAAGAATATTGACAGTAATTGTTTATATTCCATTAATTTTTTAAAACAGAAAACTCTTACTAGAGAAGACTGCTAGCTAATAAATGTAGAATGCTAAAATTAGAAAAGTCAGCATTTTGCAACTCCCTAGGTAATAACTGAGTCAGGCAAGGATCATCGATGGATGCTAAAACTGAATACAAGATTCTTGGGGAACAGGATATTCACATGGTCTTAACGTATCACCTCACAAATTGCTTATAAATGACAAAGGAACAAAATGTATCTTTACCAAAAAAAAGAAAAAAGAAAATCTGGCAGTTACCCCCTTAACCAAGTGATTGACATATTTTCCAAAAGTGGGACAAACTGACATTAACTGTTTCCTAATCTGAAGAGTATGCAGTATTTCTGCCAAAAATGTTTAATCCAACCCAATCACAGTCAGACAAATCCAGATTATGAGTGGGACATTCTATGGGACAAGTGACCTGGACTTTTCATAAAAAACAAAATGAAAAAAGGTGGGGAATTTCTCATCAGAAACCATTCAGATCAAGAAAAATGTGGCACAATATTTTTGAAGTGTTAAAGAAAAGAGCTATCAAATCAGAATCCTATATATAGCAAAAACATCCTTTAAAAATATAAGGGAAATTAAGACATTCTCAGACAAAGGAAAGCTAAAAGAATCTGCTGCCGGAGACCTATCTTAAAAGAATGGATAAAGGAAGTTCTCTAAAGAGAAAGAAAATTATAAAAGAAAGAAACTGGGAACACCATTGCGAGGTATGGAATTACCTTACAAAAAGCAATTTGGCCTTTGTTTTTGATTCTTTCAAGTCAGACCAATACCTCAGGCTAATGAGGGGAGCTGACTAGACCAAGAGGGACCTCCTGAGGGGCTGATACTGATTAAGCCTCATGAGGAATGATTAATCTATCATGGTCATATGGTAAGGCCATAAGAGCCCTGAGCCCTAAGGCTCACGGGAGCTTCCTGGTTGGTGATCATGTGTGGGAGAGGGTAGCACATCCCTCTTTGGGCCATGGAAGCTCTATGCTGGGACCCATCCCAGATCTCATCTAATGCATCTCATTGTTTGCATCCTTTTTGGTTGTAATAAATCTGTACCCATAAATGTGGTGTACTCCTCGTGAATTCTGTGAGTTGTTCCAGTGAATTAACAAACTCACAGGGGCAGTGAAAGCAAGCAGGGGCTAGTGTCTACCTATTGGGCAGTCTGAAAGAAAGTGTCCTTCTAACTGGTGAGCTCTTACCCAACTTCGGGTGGCTACGGTCAGGGAAATGCTGCATTGGCAGCTGGTCTGAAAGATGCTATCCATCTAACTTGTGAGTTGTGACCCAGCTCCAGGTAGCTAGGATCGGAGAGAGAGAGAGAGAGTGTTCTGTTTGGGTGTGATGACAAGGATGGAGAAGTGAGAAGGTGAGGACTGGATCCATTTCCACACTTTGGGAATTGGATTTATGATGATCATACTAGGCAGTTAGCATAGAAGGTGACATTTTACCACTGTGCTTCTTGTTTAGTGTAATCATGAAGGGAGAATGAATACAGTAAGCAAAGATATGAAAACATACAGTAGGCTTTTCTTTTCCTGTTGAGTTTTCTACATTATATTTGATGATTAAAATAAAAATTGTAACACAGCCTGATGTGATTATTGAAAAAAAAAAAAGACAGAGAGAGGGTTGGAGGATTGTTCAAGATTTTAAAAATACACTGTAAACAAATATAATATATATAACCTTGATTAGATTCTGAATCAGGGAAAAAACAATTATAAAAGACATTTTTGGTACAGTTGAGAAAATCTGAATATGGATTATATTTGGATGCTATTATTGAATTAGTATTAGTTTTCTTAGATGTGATAATGGAATTTTGGTTATGTAATAAGAAGGTCATTTTTCTTAGAGGACTCATACTGTAGAATTTAGGGGTGAAGTGTCAT